TTTTTAACAATAAAAAAAATAAAAAATAATGCAATCAAGCCCCTGCAGGCCACTGCTGCGTCGTTTTGCAACCGGACGCACTATCCTCATGGTGCGCCGGTTGCACGGTATAAATTGCCCCTATTTGGTTATTCTGAGAAGAAACACTTTTTTGAGTGAGCAAATATATCCTCCTAACTTGGTTGTGTTTCACATGTGCGAGTTACATCTTCTTATGTGTGAGTTACATCTTCCGATGTGTGAGTTGCATGGACTAGCCTCAACAAGTTACATTTTGCATACAACTAAACTGGATTTTCCATCAACGCGAGATACATTTTCCATACATCTTCCGATGCGAGAGTTGAATGGACTTGCCTCAAGAAGTTACATTTTGCATACATCTAAACTGAATTTTCCATCAACGCAAGTCACATTTTCCATAACAAGAGTTAAATCACAAAATAAGCCCCTTCTATTGAAACAAAAAAAAAATTAATTATTTTTCGCAAAAACAATATGGCAAAAAAAATCAAAAAAATCATGGCTTCTTATTAAAAACAAAACATATTCATAATTTACGTAAAGCAATTGAAGCAATTGGACTACTTTTTTACATTGTTTACATTGAAATTAATGTTTTATTACTTATAGTCCGTATTAGATAAGTTACATTTCGACTTGCCTGCAGTTATATTTCATATCAATGTGAGTTACATTTTTACACATGAGTTACAATACCCTGCTACTGGGACAAAAGGCTATTGTTCACGTGTGTTACTGTTCACGTGTGTTTGAGGCCTAGGAGCACCATGCTCACCATGGGTTGTTTCTACAAGATCACAACTATTGTTCACGTCTCACACTCTCACCCGTGTCGTTTAGAAGAATCGATTGTTTCATGAACGGATAAAGTGATTAACCATAGTCCATGAGACTATGAGAGATTGTTTAGGGATTTTAGGGTTGTGATGATTTTTTAGGGAGAAAAAGTTCAATTTTCTTTAAAGGAGAAAAGGTTCAATCTAATACTATGATTTATTCAAGTCTACTTAGGCGTGTCCTCAATATAGATTTTTGAAGATTTTAATAGAATTTAGAATTTCATCCAAATTTAAGTCTCTGATTTAGATTTTTATATAGTCTACGAAAATACTGATGTTCTCAAACATTCCACAGATTTCAATTATTATTTATTTAGATAGATTTTAAATGGTTTTGGTGAAATTGTACATACAAAACATTTTATCAAAAATCATGTCTAGACTCTTGAAATAATTCACAATTTTTAGAAATACATCAAAATCTTTTTGAGACATAATCCATCTATATTGTTAAAACTGGACCGGAGTGTGACCTGGAAAAGTTACCGGGTCAAGGGTCATGTGGTCAATGGCTATAGACCCGATCAATATTTGTTAAAAATAAATATAAAATATGTACAATTATTAATGTTATTGAATGCGTAGAGGGAACAATATTGTGATTCTTAAAGTAATAATGACAATAAATCAAAAGCTTATAAAATAGAAGAGTTGATCTAAACTATTAACTATATATAGTGTTAGATAGAATTCAAAATGCATTTAGAGTTACATAAACAATAAATATGAATATAACATGTATTACAAATCATTAAAAAGTGGTATAAGTATTTTTACTTATATTTGGAATGACACACACACATATTTAAATAGTACTATGTATATTATTAGTAATAATACTTATTACTTTTTTAAAAAATACAAAAAAAAAAGAAAAAATAATAATAATACTTATTACTATTATTTGTTAAAAGGGAATAATAGTGTTTAACTTTAAAGTTATAAGTCCAAAAATCCAATCTCGAGCGGACGACACCCTTTCTAGGGTTGAGTTTGGTGCGCAGCTTTTTTGCGCAGAGCAAGATAGCGGACAATCACAGGCATCACGGTTTCAGTCGCAGGTCAAAGACAAAGACGAACGGCCATCGCATGTCACAACGTAGGGCAGATCAGATCTCAGGTCAGTGAGTAGCAGGGCACAACATAGGAGTAATGATGATGACGGACAACAACGAACAAGGAAAGATTTGTCCATGGATGTGGAGGTTGCTCGCTTTCGGGCTATTTGTGTTCGTGTAATATTTTGGCCAATAGATGGAGGCGACTCGAGGGTAAATCAAGGTGATGGAGGAAGAAGATGAAGTGATGAGGATTCAGCCCCCTCCTGAACTGCCGCCATGGAGGAAATGTGATTCTAGGGATTGGAACACGAAGTTTGAAGGAAGGATCCAACTGCTCCATCATATTATCTCGATAAATTCGTTTTTCTCGTTTTTAGTTTGTTCATTATGAACTCCGGTGTTATCGTTTTATTTTTTGTTATAACTCATGGCGCTAGGTTGACTACTATGACTGAGGATTCGTCTAGATTTGATGTGGTTAGTGGTGGACGAATCTATTTTTTGAGCAATAGCTGCATTAAGCTGATCTGGCGGTTAGCGATTCCGCCGATTCGTATTGCTCCTTTAGGGGTGATCATCTCTATTTTTAATCGTATGGCTAATAATAGTACTTGGAAGGTGAAAGTTGTAGTCAGTAGTGGTCACTTTGAGATGGATGTAACGATCCTGATTCTAATGATATCAATATAGACGATTTCCTTTAAAAAAAAACTTTGAAGTTATAAGTATTAATAAAGAGTTAATGTAACATGCAAGCTGTTATGGCCGAATGGGAAGCACTTTGGTTGCAGTTAGAGCGAGAGCAGGGATCGATCCCTCCCTAGAGAGAAATTTAGTTCAGATTGCCTGATAAATCCGAGTTCCGGGCTGGTTTCCAGTAGTATCAGTGGTTGTAGTCGACGGACCGGGCACAGTGGCAGAAGGAATGCTCGGGCTCGGTGGCAGGGATTGGACTAGGGCTCGGGGCCGGGCTCGATGGCAAGGATTGGACTGGGGGCGGGCTCGAGCTGTGTATGGTGGCAGGGGTTGGGAACAAAATCGGGTTGGGGCTCGTAGGGGTGGGATCGGTCCGGTCCGAATCGGGTTTTTGCTAAATCCAGAAATTACCCGTAAGGCATCGGGTTATGAAAATTAGGGACCAAAAAAGCCCACTATATTCGGTCCGAGTCGGGTTTTTTGTAGCCCGGGTTCGGTCCGGGTTCGGGTTGGGTCGGTTAAAGCCCGGATGTGAAATCACTCATTTTTGTTTTATATTTTAAAATCTATTTTCAACTACAATTAATAAAAAGTACAAACCGCAAATAAAATTAATAAAAATCACAAATATTAGTCTCCAAAATCACCAAGAATTCAAATCCAAAGAAGACAATTATCATAATATTTTGTTTAAGATGCATAAAAATAAGTAATTTAGGTGTTCTAAAAATGTTATGAAATGAAATTTATGGATAAAAATGTGACTAAAGTTACTATAAATATGTTTTCATGGTCATTACGGTAAATAAATTGAACATATTTGTAGTCACTAAAAGTTATTAAGTCAATTTTTCATCCATCATGATTATAATCATATATTATGAATTAATTTATAAATTATATTGGTATATTATATTGATTTTATATTAAAGCTAATTGTTTCGGGTTTTATCGGTTCGGACCGGGTTATAGATTTTAGGGCCCGTTAAAAAGCCCAAAATTTCGGGTTCGGTCCGGGTTTTTTTTATTCGGGTCGGTAAAAAAGAAAAAACCCGGACCGATATCATAATTCGGGCCGGGTCAGGGCCAGTTTCCTGGTTTCGGTTCGAGTTTTCCCACCCGTAGGGGCTTGGAATCGGGATGTGCATGGTGTTAGGGATTGAGTTGGGCTTAACCTAGTGTTCTAACTAGGTTCAAAAGATTGGGCCGGGCATGGTGTTAGGGATTGAGTTGGGCCTAACCTAGTGTTCAAACTAGGTTCAAAAGATTGGGCTGGGCATGTAAAAAAATGTCCAAAAGATTCTTTGCACCGATCTAGCCTAACATAGTGTTCTAACTACGCCATTGGTTTTCCGGTTTGGGATTATTTAAGACCAGCGCAGTTTGTTCAAGTTTCGAGCTGGGTCCCACGACCCGTCTAGTCCATCTTTGGTCCCGATTATGTAATTCTTATACATTTTTAAAGCCTCCTCAACCCTTCACTAACCTTCTATAGCTGATGGGGAGGAGTCCACTGATGTGGTCAGACGAGCTGATGGGGACATCATGCAAGTCAACGATAGCCGCCGCTCAGCTCTCTTGAAAGAGGCGGACATGATACCAACATTATCAACGACTTGATTGCGGTGCCAGAGTTTTATGAAGCGAAACCGTCTCTGAACATGGCAATTTCTGGAGGCGGAGAAGACCACCAGATGATAAACCCGAGAGAAGTGAAAAATAAACTCGACCCAGCATGCCAAGGGAGGCGCTCCCAGATGGGAGGAGGACTGCTGCTTCCCACGGGCATTGTAATGAACATGCAGGCCGCAGGCCGCGGCGGTGGCACAAGGATCACTACATATTACATATAGATAGGAGCGTACAATAATAAAAATATCAAAACAGATTGAGTGTCGTAGTAATTTGTAAGCGCATAAAATGCATGCAGATCGGCCTCAGATCCATCTTCATTTCCATATATACTAGCAGCTTAGCTAGCCAATTATATTAAATACCCATTATGTACTAGCTAGCTCGCTTTTACAGTTTTACTCCATCGATTCATCTGCTCATATACATAGCCTCATATATGGATGTGCTTAAGTATTCAAATCTCAAATTTGGTTTCGAAAATTCAAATGAAGAGAAGTTCAAGTTAAAGTTTCAAGATGAACTTGAATTTATATTTCCAATTTCTATTATCATAATGCATGGTTTTCTCCAATGTGATCAACAAACAAGGCTTGTTGTTCGTCTCAAGCAGTGAAACAGGTCCCTCCAGTGCATGTTTTCGCGATGGCAGCAAATTAAATTAAGAGTTCAACGTATATGTAAAATACTTGGATTAGATAAGATCAATATATATAACCAGATGAACATTCAATGAGAGACTTCAAAAAAACAGATGAACATTCACTGAGATACTTCAACAACAAAAACCAGATGAACATTCAATGAGATACTTCAACAAAAACAAGTAGTAGCTCAAACAATTAACTTTTGATTCTCATTCTCCACAATAAACTGATAAAGTTAAAAAGATAACTACGAGAAGTACATGACTGCATGATATGTCGTTCATCTACCACAGTTTTGAAGGACTTACATGGGAGCTAAATTTTGGTAAAAACCAAACGAATGATGAATCTTTACATTTTCCCTTTTTAATATTGTCCTTTTAGATAAAACAAAAACATTTCTTTCACATTGTTCACTAATCATTACTCTTCAATGAGGCCTGGAATGATGCCGAGCCTGGACCAAATCAAGTGGCTATTATTTGACGCCATGACTAAGAAAGCACACTAAAATTTTCAATGTGCAGCTAGATAGCTAATCCATGGAAGAATCTCTTCTCTGAAAGGCAGTTCACAGTTGCAGTGTGATGTTATTACCAGGCTACCAGCAGTAAGTCGAACCACCTATAATGAAAGTGCCATAAAAACTCTACACCAGACCTGTTGAGAAATTTCTTGTTTTTCCATTACTTCTCCGTCCAAATCATCGCATCAAGCCTGCATATTCTGGGTTATAAAGTTTCCGCATCAAATATATGCACCTATCTGTATATGTTATGAAAATTAGAAGCCTGGGTGAGATATTACCCCTTCCTGGCAAAAGAAGTATACATCTTGCATTCCATAGTTCAACTGCCGGAAGACATAGCTTCCTCAATTCTTTTTATAATCACACTCAGACTCTGCCCACCCTCTATAGCTTGAAATGCAGCTCGGTGTGCATGTTTATGCCATTTTAACAGATTATAGGATTGCATTACTGACCATCTAGCTTGATTTGACATCTGTATAACAAATCACTGCTGTTAGAATTCCAAATATGCAACGAGCTGATTGAAAAATAAAGTAATAACCGTTCTGGTTTCTTTAAAGTTTATCATGGCTTAAATGTTTTCTAGTCCCAGTAAATGTAGATGGCATTTCCAAATGGAGATTTCGCCAAAGTTAAAGAATCACTAAAATAAAAATAGCATATATTGGAGGTATGACAAACAAAAAAAATCCACAGATCTAAAAACAAAGATGTTATATTTGCAGTAATAAAAATTATATTTAGAAATAATTCCAAATATATAACCAAAATAAGAGTAATGGACAAATATGTGATTCTAGTAACTTTAGTGACTATAATTGTATTCAAATGTTACATTGTAGTGACTATAAAACTTATTCATAGTAACTTATAATCACATTTTTGTCTATAGTTTTTTATTAGTTACTACGTATATTTTAGGAGAAAACTCATTTATTTAAGCCTATGATAGTTTTAGAAAACTTCATTTATGAAATCTCAGAGTATTGTACATAAAATTCCATCATTTGCAATGGAGCCAAAAACTCATTATTTTTTGGCTTGGAAATATGATGGAATAAAGCAAATGAGCTCACTAAACTGTCTGCGCTTCTTTGTTATGAAGCAACAGTCAGTCCATGCAATTTTTGACGCGATTTTCACTATGGGTCATCCGGAAACAGTCTCTCTGTACTTTAGTACAGGAGTAAGACTGCGTACATCCGACCCCCCTTACCCCACTATAGGTGGGAGCCTTTGCGGCACTGGGGTAATGATAATGATGATAATGATGAGAGTATTGTACATAAGTTCCTCTATACCTATGTACAAAATAACTCCAATAAAAACCTGTTTTCTTCTCTTTTTGTTTGCCCGTCAAAGTGACTTTTGAAATTTACCTGAGCAACAGATAGTGGTGGATCTAAAAGAATACAGGTGCTTCTGAATAAATTCTCATCATTTTCTCCACCCTCTGCTTCTCCATAGACAAGAGCCTCAGCGGCAATCCCAGCAAAAAGAACCATGCAATACCTGGCAAATACGTTACAAAAGGAAAAAGGTATTATTCTCCATTCAAAAACAATTGGTTACTATTCCACAGAGACGCATCCCAAGCAACCCAAGTATCTACCTACTCCTAAATGAAACCAAAGAAGAGCATATAATACAAAATACCAGAATGCAAAACCTGTCAAAGCCAGTTCTACTCAACCGGCCTTCAGCGAGCTCATTCTCAAGTTTTTCATCCCAGAACTGTGTTCCAGCCTGAAAGGAATAAATGCAGTCACAATGAGACTACAGAGGCTATTAACTATTAGATAATTGTTAGTTGTTAGCGGATAACTATTAGCTAGTTGTTAGTGGATAACTATTAGTTAGTTAGCATTAACTCGGATCCTAATTTCTAGGAGTTAGTTCACTGTGATGTATCCTATTTATACTGCACTTCTGAATGAGAATTATCATTCCGCCTAAATCTGTTCTGCTCATATGGTATCAGAGCTGCTGATCACTCAACCCTAATCTCTCTCAGCCGCTATTTCTTTCAGCCGCTGATCAATCATGAAATCCCCTTCTGGTAGCGCCGATTCAACCAGTGAATCCAGTCACACTGGCAGTGCAAATCCCACATCTCAATCTGATTCTTTTCAGGATATTTCTATTACTTCTCATAAATTAAATGGGAGTAATTACCTCCAATGGTCTCAGTCTGTCAAATTGTTCGTTCAAGGACGGGGAAAATTTGGATATCTCACCGGATCCACAGCCAAGCCGGAGGAAGGAGAGGAAGGACTTGATCGATGGGAAGCTGAGAACTCCATGATCATGTCATGGCTTGTGAATTCAATGGATTCAGGTGTTGGTCGTGCCTACTTATTTCTGCCAAGTGCACATGAAATCTGGACTGCCGTCAAGGAAACATACTCAGACTTGGGAAATGTCAGCCAACAATTTGAGATCAAGAATCAATTAAATAAAACACGACAAGGAGACAAGAGTGTCACACAGTACTACACTGAACTGAGCACTCTGTGGCAAGAGTACGATCTGTTTTGCAACTACACCTGGAAATGCACAACAGATAGTGCATTATTTAAAAAGACCATCGATAAGAAGAGGGTCTTTGACTTTCTGGCTGGACTAAACAAGGAACTTGATGAAGTTCGAGGTCGAGTACTGGGGAAAGACCCATTACCCAGCACACGGGAAGCATTTGCAGAAGTTAGGAGAGAAGAAAGCCGTAGGCATGTGATGCTTGATGCTGAAACTTCATCAAATGCTGAAACTGTAGCGCTGGCCACTTCAAAAGCTGATGAGAAGTCAGAATTGTCACCCCAACTATTTCAAAAGAAAGAGAACAGACCTGTTTGTGACAATTGTCACAAGATTGGGCATATCAAAGCTAAATGTTGGAAGTTACATGGCAAACCAGCTAACTTTACACCAACAAATAGGTCACATCGCAATTCCAGAGGTGGTTTCCAGGTCTCCTCAGAAGAAACTAATACCTATCCATCCTCCAGTGACAGCTCACCCATCAAGGAAAACTTAGAGCAATTGTGTCGCATCTTGAGTACACAGCAGTTTACTAATAATCCTAATCAAAACACATCTGAACCATCATCCTCATTAGTCCAAAAAGGTACCTATACAGCTGCCTTTAATCTTAGAATACATAAATCCGACCCTTGGATCATTGAGTCAGGGGCCACTGATCATATGGCTGGATCTTCATATATGTTTTCTACATATATTCCATGTTCTGGTAATCAAAAGGTTAAAATTGCAGATGATTCATTGTCTGCAATAGCTGGTAAAGGTTCCATCATTGTCTCACCTTTCCTTACTTTATCCAATGTCCTACATGTGCCTAATCTCTCATGTAATCTCCTATCTGTCAGTAGAATAACCACTGATTCTAATTGTCTTGTCAAATTTGTTTCCTCTGAGTGTATTTTTCAGGAGCACAGCTCGGGGAAGGTGATTGATAGTGCATATGAAAGTGGTGTACTCTACTACTTTGTCTCAGAAAATCTTCAACGTAAACAAGTTCATAATTCATGTTCTTCTAGCTACGTTTCTTTAGAGAATGAAATAATGTTATGGCACTATAGATTAGGCCATCCTAGTTTTGGTTATTAAAAACATTTATTTCCTACATTATTCAAGAATAAAGATGTTGAAGGTTTTCAGTGTGAAATTTGCCAATTGGCTAAACATAAGAGATCGGTTTATCCCTCGGTGAACTATATGCCTTCTAAACCATTCTCTTTAGTTCATAGTGATATATGGGGACCATCTCGTGTCAAAACTTATTCAGGGGCAAGATGGTTCATTGCATTTATTGATGATCACACAAGAAAAACTTGGATTTATCTTCTTAAAGAAAAATCTGAAGCTGCTGAAATTTTTAAAAAAAATTATTTTATGATCAGAAATCAGTTTCAATCTCAAATTCAAGTTTTAAGAACTGATAATGGCAGAGAGTATTTCAATCAAACCCTTGGAAAATTTTTGATTGAACAAGGCATAATCCATCAGAGTTCTTGTGTAATTACACCTCAACAAAATGGAATTGCCGAGAGAAAAAATAGACATCTTTTAGAAATAACTCGAGCTCTAATGTTTTCAATGAATGTTCAAAAACGTTTTTGGGGGGAAGCCTTACTTAATGCTGCCTACCTAATAAATAGGATGCCAAGCAAGGTTCTAGGCTATCAAACCCCCTTAAAAACTTTACAAAACTGCTTTCCTTACAATAGAGTCTTTAGTGAATTGCCTCCTAAAGTCTTTGGCTGCACCAGTTTTGTTCATAATCATGAAATCAGTCGCAGTAAATTGGATCCTAGAGCCATTAAATGCATATTCTTAGGTGTTTCAAACACTCAAAAAGGTTATAAATGTGTTGATGTGAGCTCGGGCAAGATGTTTGTGAGTATGGATGTCACATTCTTTGAAAATAAACCTTTCTTTGAAAAAACTTCTCTTCGGGGGGAGAGTTTAGTCAGTAATGAAGATAAGTTTTGGAAATGCACTGTACTTCCTATTCCAATTTTTAATAACCAAACTGAGTTAGCCTATAACAAACATACCATAACAAATAATTCAATTTCTCATAAAGACACTGCAAATGTGAGGAACATGGAACCAAATACTGAACTTTGTGTTTACTCAAGAAGGAAAGAGCGACAAAGAGTTGTTCCACAACTTACTGATGCACAACCAATTCCTAATCCAAGCTCTGCTCCAGGTAATACTATCAGTCTTTATCAAACTCTTGAATTAAATCATGTGTCTGATCATAGTAACCCAAATCCTACCCCTGATCCAAACTTTGCACCTAATCGAAGTGATCTAAATGAGCCCATAGCCACTAGGAAAGGAGTTAGAGAATGTACCAAACATCCTATCAGTAACTATGTGTCATATCATAACCTATCACCAAAGTTTATAGCCTTTACCATTAGTATTACTGATGATGAAACTCCTAAAACGATACATGAAGCTCTAAGTATTCCAAAGTGGAGAGATGCTGTTCTAGAGGAAATGAGGGCATTAGAAAAGAATAAAACTTGGGAACTGACAAAGCTCCCGTCCAACAAACACCTTGTTGACAATAAATGGATTTTCACCATAAAACATAACTCGGATGGTACAATAGAGAGGTACAAAGCAAGACTGGTAGCTAGAGGGTTTACTCAAACATATGGGCTGGATTATGAGGAGACATTTGCTCCAGTTGCAAAACTCAACACTGTCAGAATACTTCTTTCTTTAGCTGCAAATCTGGATTGGCCTCTACTACAACTAGATGTTAAGAATGCATTTCTTAACGGGGACTTGGAAGAAGAAGTGTTTATGCAGGTACCACCTGGTTTTAACAATGATAATACTGTAGGAAAGGTGTGTAAACTAAAGAAAGCCTTATATGGACTCAAACAATCTCCTAGAGCTTGGTTTGGGAGATTTGAAAAAACCCTGAAGAAGCAAGGATACACTCAAGCACAATCAGATCACACTTTGTTCTACAAACACAATGTAGAAGGTAACGTGGCAATACTGATTGTATACGTGGATGACATAGTACTGACAGAAGATGATCAGGAAGAGTTGGAAGCATTGAAGAAGTTCTTAGCTCAACAACTTGAAATAAAGGACTTGGGGAATCTCAAGTACTTCCTTGGCATGGAAGTAGCTAGATCCGACAAAGGAATTGTGATCTGTCAGAGGAAGTATGTGCTTGACTTACTGAAAGAAACAGGTCTTCTTGGATGCAAACCTGTTTCAACTCCAATTGACCCAAATCAAAAATTTGGAAGAAGTGAAAGTGAGGAAGCTGTGGACAAGACCAGATATCAACAACTAGTTGGTAAACTCATTTACCTAGCTCACACAAGACCAGATATAGCATTTGCAGTAAGCTTAGTCAGCCAGTTCATGCACAACCCAACTGAAGAACACCTTAGAGCTGTCTACAGAATTATTCACTATCTTAAAGGTAGCCCTGGAAAAGGAATTTTGTTCAGGAAAACCCAAAATAGACAAATAGAGGTGTTTACAGATGCTGACTATGCTGGAAATAGTATTGATAGGCGATCCACATCAGCCTACTGTACATTTGTGTGGGAAAACCTTGTCACTTGGAGAAGCAAGAAACAGTATGTTGTATCAAGAAGTAGTGCAGAAGCTGAGTTTAGGGCAATGGCACAAGGCATATGTGAAATCATATGGATAAGACGTGTGTTAAAAGAGTTAAGGATGCCATCAGAAAGGCCTATGAGATTATATTGTGATAACAAATCAGCTATTAGCATTGCACATAATCCAGTGCAACATGACAGAACTAAACATGTGGAGGTTGACCTAAATTTCATTAAAGAAAAACTTGAGAGTGGAGAAATATGCATTCCCTATGTTCAAACAACTGAACAACTAGCAGATGTGGTGACTAAAGGTCTCTTCAAGCAAATGTTTGAGGAAATTTTGGTCAAGCTGGGCATGATTAATATCTTTGCTCCAGCTTGAGGGAGAGTATTAGCTATTTTAATGTATTTATATTTATCTGAATGTAATTAGATAATTGTTAGTTGTTAGCGGATAACTATTAGCTAGTTGTTAGTGGATAACTATTAGTTAGTTAGCATTAACTCAGATCCTAATTTCTAGGAGTTAGTTCACTGTGATGTATCCTATTTATACTGCACTTCTGAATGAGAATTATCATTCCGCCTAAATCTGTTCTGCTCATAGAGGTAGTAGAATCA